CTGCGGCCAGCACTTATGTTTTCCAGGAAAGTCTAGCATGACAAAATAAAGTGAGGGCAAAGTCTGGACTATATGTTTATCTATCTCTATGTGCATTTTTAACTGGTTTGCCAGAGAAGATAAATTAGAGCAAACAGTGCACAGTGCAACTTCAGATTAAAGAAAACAAAATAAAGTTATGTAAAGACAAACCTGACTCAAACCTGTCCTGTCATGTCCTGACCTATAGTGTAAAAACTGCTGTTTCCCTTGTTCATGAAAAGGTTAAATGAAGTCATCCTCCAGAGGAAGAAACTAACGTGTAAAAAAAAAAAAAAAAAATCATGTTAAATTAAAAAACACATCTCTTGAGCTGTGTTCATGTTGAATAGTATTGACACATTCTCTTATTGTTTCTGTAGATCCGTGGGATGGGGATGAACTCTCCTGAGCTGCTGCTTCTGGTTGAAAACTGTCCTAAAGGAGCAGAGACTTTAGTCACTCGCTGCCTGCACATTCTGACAGATAAAGGTAAAACAAAAAAATCAGATACACAACAATGTTGCACTTTTGAATGAGTTCACATGAAAACACCTAATCCTGATGCACAGTAGAGGAAGTCAAAAGAGAGGTGTTGATGTGAAAAAAAAAAAAAAAATGACAGACTTTCTTTCCTCCGTTCAGTACCTCCGTCTCCAGAGCTGGTGGAGAGAGTGCGAGACCTTTACCACAAACGAGTCCCAGATGTTCGTTTCCTAATCCCTGTCATTAACGGCCTAGAAAAGGTAATGTTCTCAAACTCATCTTAGTACTGTAGGAAAGGTATGTGCGATTTATTGGAGAGTGATTTAGAACAAGTTAGACTTCTGTAATATGTCTCTCAGCTGTCTTCTTACTCCCACTTAATCATAATGATTCCTCTCGTGGATTTTATTTTCCTTTTTTTTTCTCTCTCTCTCTCTCTCTCTCTCTCTCTCATGAAGAATGAAGTCATCCAGGCGCTGCCCAAGCTGATCAAACTCAACCCGATTGTAGTAAAGGAGGTGTTCAACCGTCTCTTGGGAACTCAGCACAGTAAGAGTCATTTACGTCTTTCACCGGTGGATGTCAGTTATAATTCTATCAAAGTAGTCTCCTCTCCTCGCGTTTCTTATTTCCCTATTTTCTGATATCTTATGTTACCTCTGCTTCTGTGGAAGATTCACTCAGGTGAAGGACGCTGATGTATTCTGACTGTTGTCTTTCAGGTGAGGGAAGTTCATCCGTGTCCCCTCTGACCCCAGGAGACCTGCTCATTGCCTTGCACAACATAGACTCCACCAAATGTGATATGAAGTCCATCATAAAAGGTCCGTGTTCAGTGCTCAAGCTGTTTATTGTTTGTTTGAGCAGCTTTATCAGTGTTGGTCAGTTGATGCTTCAGCGTGGTCACATTAAAAGTCTGGTCCTATGAGGCTAGAGTTTCACTAAAGCAACAACCACCAAGGGGACCTTGGAATACGCTTTGTGTGATGAGTGATGCTCTCATCACAAAATTTGCATTCTGATGATTTCAAGCAGGATACTGAATAACACTGCTGGCTTAAAGAAGTGTATGTAAATAATAAAGATCATTTCATGCCAACGCCGTTACTAGATGTGGACATAGACAGACAAGCCAGTCTAGCTCCACTGTTCAGTGCAGGTGAAAAATAATAAGTTGGCTTCAAATGGACCATTGTCATATTCTGTAAAAATGAATTTGGGCTTGTAATATAATCAGGTAAATAAAATTATTCTCGGCCGAGCACAGACAACCTTTACGCTATGATCAATACTTCATTGATCAGTCTGTGTTGAATACTGTATGTACCAGTTCATAAACAATATGCTGTGTGTCTTCACTGCAGCTACCAACCTGTGCTTTGGGGAGAAGAACGTCTACACGTCAGAGGTTTTGGCAGTGGTGATGCAGCAGCTGATGGAGCACAGCCCCCTCCCCATGCTGCTCATGCGTACCGTTATCCAGTCTCTCACCATGTACCCCCGACTGGGCGGCTTCGTCATGAACATCCTGTCCCGTCTCATTGTGAAGCAGGTCAGCACCAAACTCCAGACAATTAATCTGAGTTTCTGCACTGATGTCCATGACTTTTTGTTCTTTTTGTAATCTCTCCTCTAACAGAAAAACTCAGTAATCACCTTTTCTGCTGTATAACACTGGTTGTTATGCTCCTCTGCAGGTGTGGAAGTATCCTAAGGTGTGGGAGGGATTTGTAAAGTGCTGCCAGAGGACAAAGCCTCAGTCGTACAGTGTGCTCCTACAGCTGCCCCCCGCCCAACTGACAAGCGTGTTCGAACGCTGCCCAGAGATGAGGGAGCCTCTCCTACAGCATGTCCACTCCTTCACCCCTCATCAGGTGACAAGTTTTACTGACCCTTACTCACAGTCCAAAATTCTGTTTCCCTTGGGATTTACTTATTTACCAACTGCCTCTGTTTTTCTATGCAACAGCAAGCTCACATACCCGCCTCCATCATGACGGTGCTAGAAGCGAATAAAAAACAACAGCCGAAGCCTGCACAGCCTGTTGTGGAAAAAGAGGTAATGGATCAAGATGCTGTACGCACTTTCCTGTGACATAAATGTTATATGTCCTTCAGTGACAAATGTATCGAGTTTTTCTATTGCTATATACGTTAGCAACAGCTGTCAACTTACCAGGCTTGACAACAGCTTCAGTCATTGTTGCGTTTACAAGACAAGAGGTTAGAATACGCCCTCTACGTCTTCAGGGCAGATTGGACACAGTATAAGAGAAGAAGTGATAGAAATAGAGCAAAACTAACTAGAGACAGCTCTGAGTGAGTTTGTTTATAAATCTGTCCGCCTCTATTTTATCATACAGATTGAACCAATCACTGCTCCAGATGGGTCAGTTTCAGAGGAGGCTCCCACTGTGACACTGAAAGAACCAGAGATGCCAGTTCAGCACGACCCAGCCGTCACGAAAGATGATGAAGAACCAATGGAGCAAGAACAGTTGGATCCAGTGATACAGGAGGAAAGTGACAACACTGTCTCGCAGGTAAAATGAAGTTACTTGGAATCATACAACTGACCCATTGAACCTATAGACGTGGCCTAGTGGCAATTAAACCTCTAAAAACATGAGCTTGTTAGTGCAGCATATCATCTTTTCAACAAGAATGGACAATCAGAGCCATGTATCCACTGGTCACAGAAGTCTTGGGCTTTATTTTTATTCCTCCGTGCCGGCAGCAGTCGGAGCCAGAGGCATATTGTTTTCGGGTTGTCCGTCTATCCCTCGTGATGGAACTTCTTCAAATTTGGTAAAGATGTTCATCTAGACCCAAGGACAAATTGATTACATTACTTGGTGGCTAAAGTTCAAAGGTCAAGGTCAGATTGGAGGAGGCATACAACCATGAAGCAGTTATTCTAGTTTGCCTTTAATCTTATAGCCACAGTGAGAGAGAGAGAGAGAGAGAGAGAGAGGAAAGTCAGGGAGAGAGAGGGGATGACATGCAGCAAAGGGCCACAGGTCAGACTGTGACCCAGAACACTGCAGTTAGGATTAAGCCTTTGTGTATATATATCTATATACATATATATAGATATTTATACATATAACATCTCTGTGCCTCAGGAGGTATTTTAAATTGATTTTAAATTTAATTAAAACTGGAACGAAAACATTTTGCTGACTCCTGTAGATACCGTCTGAGCTCGTTTTTGCTTCTGCTCAGGTGGAGTTGGCAAGAGCAAGTGAAACACCATCACCTCAACCAGAACCAGCTGAGGAACCAATGGAGGTGTCTCAGCCTGGACCTTCAGACCCCCAGGAGCCGGAAAAAGATGCTGAAGCTGACATCACCGGACCTGAGGGTGGAAGTGGCAGCGAGGATGTGGAATAACTGCTCAAGAAACATGCACTCAAAATAAATGAACATTTCTGTCCTCTGTAAACAGTCCTCAGTTTTTTTTTTTCAGGATTTCTTGTCTAGAAAAATCTTACTTTTTGTATTGTAGAAAACATATTTTGAGGAAATAAATAAAAGGAAAATTTGTGTATGAAAGCATTCCATATGCCTTCATGTCATGATGAGTTGGCAAATAAATAAACAAAACACTGGTTTTCTATCTGTTTCAATTCCTTTCAGTTCCCTTTTTCACACTATGCCCCTTTGTTAGATCAAGAATAACTGTTTGGTGTTGAAAAGTGTGACCAGTTGTCAGCAGTGTGTATGCAGCATGTTAAATGTTGAAGAAAATCTCAAGGTTTAAAAATTTAAAAGTGCCAGACACCTACTGAATATTCCCAAGATATGGACGTGTGTAAGTTTGTAACAAAAGCAAAATGTGTAGTATTAAACAAATTAAAAAGTTGTGAAAGTGACTAAATAACTACTGAAACCATAGTGTACCACTGGTGTCTGTTATGCAGAGCTCCACTTACATACAATTTGATTGTCTTGATGAGAACTATACCATAAATAAGTTGTAAATTACAGAATGGACCGTTTTTATTTAGTTGTGTAGTCAGTTTGGTGGTAACTTTTCAAGCATTGGTTCTTGTGGTCTTAAACACTTTGTGTGAAAGGCAATTGTCACCTGTGAGTGTATGTATATTCTTTTAAAAAGTAATTCCTTACTATAAAGTGGCAGAGTAAGTTTGCACATGTGCAATTTTAATTTTGGGTTAATCTGTGGGTCACATTTATCATCAAATAACAATAGTTTTTCATTTTAATTACACTGGACCAATATCGATGTTATTCCACAACAGCAGGCCTACCTCTACTAAAATGCCTGGGCACCATTTTAAAATCCCTTGATAAATAGTTTTCACCACCAGTTCCTTTAATGTTTAATCCATTATGTTAATAATAATAATGTTAACCAATGCTTCTTTTTCTGTGAAATCACCGGAAGAAGTGCTACTTTTATTTTTGAAAATATCAACCGGAAGCGCTTTACAACCCGAAGCTAGTCTCACGTAACGAAAAATCTGGTGCTTGGTTGGATGAGTAGTCTCGCGAGAGCAGTCCAAACCTGCACCGTGGAATGTTTCTCAACTTCTCACTGTTCCTCTCCAACAGTTTACAACCGTTATAAGTAACAAACCTACCAGGTAACACGGCGCCTCTCCCGGTTCAGTTTAAATGAAAGCTGTAATTCTCGCCGCTGGGTACGGAACCAGGCTCCAGAGGGATGTGGTGGCCGACAGCAGCGGGAGGTTCGCTCACCTGGCTGGCACTGCCAAGCCGCTACTGCCGGTGGGACACTGTGCTTTGATATCCCATTGGGTCCATGCCCTGACCGCCTCTGACGCTGTGGACTCTATTTATGTTGTTGTAAGTAGTTAATGTAGTCAAATTTTGTTTTCAAATACATATTTAGTTCTTGTACCTTACTTATTTTTATTTTATACTGGGTTGTATTTTACTATATTATATTCTACTGCATTTCAGTGGGAAACAATGTACTTACAGTTATAGTTTCTAATAGCTTTTCATGTTAAGATTTGACTTCCAGAATAGAGTAGTTTTTCTAAGTGTTCTGTATTATACTTGTGTTTCAAATTAAGACCAGACCATTGTGTTTTTCTTAAAGCCAATACAATTGTTTTTTTGCATCAAGGACTAGGGCTGAAGTCAGTCAGATGTTCAGGTCTAACTGACCTGAGAATCAATCAATCCTGTACTTATCTCTTTCCACTGTTTTCCTGTCCACAGACTAACGCTCTTTACCATGCTGCATTTGAAGAGTGGGCTGCAGGTTTCACAGATGTCAAGATTCTCAGCGATCAGACAAGAAACAATGATGTAAATAAAGTTTTACAATTATTGTTTATCAGACGGTCATCACTACTTACGTGGCATGCTTTTGCCCTTAGAAAGCAGACTTTTCATACCATCCACTGACTCACTAACCTGAAGTTTCAAATCCCATAATATTAGCTCTATGTTTTTAAAGAATGAACCTGTAAATGAAGCTAATGTTGTCATTCCACCAGGAGCGTCTTGGTGCTGTGGCCTGCCTGCAGCTTGCAGTAAAGCACTTCAAGATAGCTGACCATGTTGTAGTTATTGGAGGGTATGTTTTTAAACTCATGGTATCAACACTACCATGCAGAGAAAGGTCTCACAGCTCAAAGTCCTGTTCCTGACAAACTAATACAACTCTCTCTCCAACCCTAAACAGTGATACACTCTTCAAAGAAGATTTTAGCCTCAGTAAAGTTAAAGAGAGGTTTTCCGACCTCAGAGCGAAGCATGAGGACAGCTGTCTAGTGCTCTCGTACCAGTGCAAAGATGAAGGTGAGTTTTACAGCATTTGCATGGCTTAGTGATGTGGATGAGGCACTTCCAGAACTATACATTTTGACTATGACATGACGAGTCACTGAGTAGCTTCGGTGCAGATGCTTGGTCTTAAATGTAACATTGTAAAAGCTGTTGGGGAAGTGGGTGAATCTCATCCTAGGATGTCATTCCTGTGTCTTTACAGAAACTCATAAATACGGGATACTGGAAGTAGACAATGATCTGTGTGTCCTCTGTATGAAGGAGAAACCTCTTCCTTCTGAGACAAAGTCAAGGAGAGCAGTAAGTTTACCATAAACACTAACCAGGGCCCATAAAAGACTATTTACAATGGCAAAAAAAAACTTGGTAGATAAAGAGACTGCTACAAAGATATGGTATTTTGATGTAACGCTCAACTTGTACAATGCATGTATTTATTTTTGACATTTTCAGGCAACAAGCAGCTAATACGTTTCGTTTGTATTTCAGTGTCCTTGTTTCTATATGTTTTCAAAGAAAAGCCTTCCTCTGCTGGATACCTTCCTTGAGGAAAAGAAGGTAAATTTAATTATCAAAAGTCGAACATTTGACATTAGAGTGAAAAGAGCAAATTGTCTGTTTTTAATTTCACTATTGTGCACACCTTTATATTTCCATAGGAAGCTCCTATTGAAGAGAAAGATGCCCCAGGAAACTTTGTGTCTTGGCTTATTCCAAGGTAATCAGTCAAGAATCTGGGTTTTACTCTCTAAAGTTATCCAAATAATTTACTAATCCTGCTTTGTGAGACAAACTAATTCACTTTTCTCAATAAATTACTTTTTTTTTGTTTGCTTTCAGGAAGCCAGTGTACGTTCATCAGATTTCTGGGCGTTTTGATGTTGGAAACCTGCCATCCTATATTGAATGTGACCTTTACTTCAGAGAAAAACTTCAAGATGTCAAGTCGTACATGGTGTAGAGGAAACAGAAATGGATAAAAACACCATATTTATTATGCCATGTAAAAAAAAAAAAAAAAAAAAAACTATCGAAAGCAAGCACAGAAAAACAAATCACCTGACGTGGAATCATGACCAAGAATCTGTAGCAGTAAATCATAAATCAAGAACTGTTGCTGTTAATATCAATTTTATAATGACTATTTTCTAATAAAATTGTTTCTTTGCTATTCGTTACCACCGATGATTTCTCTACCCGGTGAGGAGTCTTGTGCATTTGTCAGAGGCCTTTTCGTGGCTGTTCTCCATCTTTGCGATGCGGGAGCCAAACTGCATGGCTCTCTTAGGCAGGACTGCTGATGGGCCGAGGCCGAGCTGTTTGGCCGCCAGTCTCAGGAGGAGTTTCTCCCCGACACCACGAGGAAGTGACAGATCTGCCTTCTCCCACATGGGCAGAGAATTCAGGTAGCTCACCACGTCCTCGTCCAAGTAGGGAAACCTGCAGATGAAGAGTGAGGTCTGTCAGATTCTACGCTCTGAACAATGGTGGTGAATGGAGTTTCATCTGTGGTGCTAACAGCACTGATTAAAAAAATTACTACAAAAAAAGTTTTGCATAAACAACATCACTGTCAGTAATGTGTACAGAGACTATTTCTCTTGGAAAAATAATTAGATCCAGTTAAAACTGTTGCACGCTGCTGTTCACACACATTTTCAGTTCTGGCTGATTAGACTGCTGCTCAGGGTGAAGGTGGCCAGAACTGTGGTCACACTTTGTAATATTATACAGTAACAAAGGTGTAATTTGTCCCATGCGAGCAGATGCACAAAGCTACAGAGAAAGAGAGAGAGAGAGAGAGAGAAAGAGAGAGAGAGATAAATCAGCATCGCTATCACAACACCATGGGTGGACTGTGGGTGTGCACGGCCTTTAAATCCATACTGCTCATCTTACTTGGATAGAAACTAATATCAATAGATGTAATCACAGTAACTGATAACTAACTAGCTACTATACTCAGAGGAGAGTTGCTGACTTCTTCAGTATAAATAATGAAATATTTTATGTTCATATTTATGACAGGATGGAGCTGACCTCATACCTATTTTAGCTCATATATCAGAGTGAGGTGACTGGACTTTTTTTTTGTTTTGTTTTTTTTTTTTAAATCAGCATCGCTATCACGTGACAGCAGGAAAAGCACAGGTGTAATTAATAACATTAACGATGACGACCTGTTCCAGAGCCCTTACATTTACTTGCTGGTTCAATGGCATGTTGCCCTGGAAACCCATTGTTTATGTAATTACAGCTGTGTCTCTGCTGCTACGACAGGTCAAAGTGAATAGAATCTTGAGTAGAACAGCCATCACTGATGTTAGTGTTTTCCCTGCTGCAAAAAAGGCCAATTACCACCCTCTACTGAAAAAAAGGCACATATTTCACAAAGGAGGGATTTAACATGGGTACTTCATGACCAACAAGTGGCTAAACCACTCAGAGCTGGAATTAGTCAGTGTGTCAGTTTGAGCAGAACATTCCCTGTCTTAAGCCCAGTTTGAGGATTCTGCTTCCACCAAACCTGTTTTGTTTTTTTTCAAACTTAAAGCTACATGTCCAATATTAATGCTGAATTTATTAATTGGAAGAAAACAATTATTTCAAGTTAAAGGTACACTGTCAAGTTGACCAATAATGGTGATATAAAAAATACTATTTTTGTTGTTTAAAAGAATTAATTACCTTTTGAGTTATATGACTGTTGCACAGAGAAAATCTCTTCAGCTCTGGTAGCTATAAACTGGTGTTTGAAACAAGTTCTACACCCACCTAGCCTCCTTCCCGTGGTCTCCTATCACTCTGTCATCTCTGCCCAAATTCCTGGAGGAGATCCTGCCCAGCTCCATGGCTAGTTCCTGGATCAGTCCCTCATGTCCAGATGTCTTAAATCGGACTCTGTGTCTGGAGTAACCTGCCAGCTGCTCATCTGCTCCAATTCCTGTCAAAATCACCTGTAGTCATAAAGTAGCCGAACAGAAAAGCAGGTTAATGAGAACTGTGAAACATCTATTAATTACAATTATTTTTTGTTTCATTAACTGTACAAAAAATGCATTTGTGATTTATTGTTTTAAAAACAATTATACCCCCTCCCCTTAACTGCTGTTAACCCTTCAGCATTCACACTAGTGTAACAGCACAGGGGACAGTTACATCAAATCTCATCTATTGGTTGAAAAGTTAAACAGAGATCATAGAGCTTTGTTCCTGGAAAAGCTGAAAGTCCAAAGTCAGATGACTGTACCTCACCTTTGCTGGTGATGTGAAAGGCCTCTGGTCATTGTCCTCCATGATGAACCCCGTACCTCGTGCTGCAAACCACACTGCACATCCAATGCTGTCATCGAGCACTGTATCCAGTGGATGCACCAAATGACAAATGCGCCCCTGACGCATTTTGTGCAGCTCCTCCTGCGTCACATTGATTTCAACAAAATTCCATCTTCTCTCAGGATTCAAGTCTTGTAATTCCCTGAGACCTGCTTTTCCAGTAATTCTGTCTGGAACATCAAAGGGGCTGGATGTTGGGGAACGAGCTCCATCAGCCTCAGAATCTGTCGCTTTATTTTTGTTCTTTTTCTTTGTAGACTCTTTCTGCTTCTTTGGCTCCTGTAGTTTAAACGCGACATTGAGAAGGTCTATTGGCTGATGAGCAGGTATGTGACGGTCAGCCAGGGCAGCCAGAATCATAGAATCAATACCTCCCGAGAAAAGTATAGCAACACTAGCATGGTCATTATCAGGTGAAGTGTCTTGTTCGTCAAAAGGCAGAGACTGGACACGTCGCCTTACTGCTTCACTCAGAACATCAATGAGACAGTTCACCTCATCACCTTTCTCTTTGCTTGCGAGCAGCCGCTCCAGATCTTTGACAGATGAATGGGAGTTTGGATGTGTTTCTGTCTCATTTAATGGGATGGACATATTAAGAGGGCACACAGGTGAGGTGAGTACCAGTCCTGACTGGTTCATCACAGTAGTGCACCCACTGGGAACAGACTCCAATACAGTTTTACTGCAAGTAAAAATGTCATCATTTCCAGCATAAGCCCAAGGAAAAACCTCAAACGTCACAGTGCCGGCTTCTGCAACTGCTTTCAGGTCAATCCTGTACACACCAACAGCTGGGACTTCTTTCCAAGCAAACTGATCACTCTCAGAAGTGTGAGCTGCCACAGAGGTCAGGGTCAAGACCTCTGCATCAAATTTCCACAGCAAACTCCGCCTGCCAAAGAAGTCTCTGCCGAACCAGAGGTACTCTCCAGCCTTTTGGTAGTAAACAAACCCCCATGGCCCCCGTACTCTGGACAGGACAGTCAGAATCTCTGAGGGGCTGCTGCAGGACGACAGCAACTGAGAGACAACAGCAGTGTCGTTCTCCGCTGGCATCACTGGCAGACCTCCAAAAATCTCCCCATTCCACACCAGCAAGTTTCCAGCGTTGTCTTGAACCGGCTGAGGGGTAAAAAGACCTCTCATGTGCAGAACGTGGGCAGAGAACAAACACTGATAGCAGGGGTTTCTTCCTGTCACTGTCACATCTTGGCTCGAGTTGGGTCCTCTTCTCTTCAAATGTTCATAAATGGTTTTGTCCCACTTAAAGTGAGCAGGCGACAGATTCAACAGACAGAAGATGCCACACATTGTTGTGGTGAAGATCAGTCTTACATATCCTGCAGCTCCTTTTTCATATTATCCAATTCCTCTGGACACAGAAAATTTAATCCGTTACTTTCATCCACCGATGATGTTACATGATCAATATCTATGTGCGGCCTAATTTATTAATTAATAAGACATTTAGTTTATCCAGTAATATGATATGAATTCACTAAAGTTTGCAGCTTTCAACTTACTTTTGCATGACCCCAGTGTCTGACCTCTGTCTGCCAGGAAGAATATGTTACTGTTCTTCTGTTGGATGTAAACTTTCTAAAGAAATACATACAAAATGTCCATGATATATACAAAAATGCACATGTGGAAAAAGCTCAATGTTACACAATAATAATTTTCTTTAAAAGGTGCGTAAGAGTTTCCCATTCATGTTTACACGACTCTACTCACCCTGTTTTTCCTCAGGTTGGAGAGCTCGTCCACTACAACTTTCTGTTCCTTGATCTGGAATTTAACAACAAACAATTATTTAAGTGATTTGATGTAATGAAATTTACAGTCACAAAAAGTTGATAAGAGACCAACGGCCAGCTGGAAACAGAGCCTTGAGAGTCCGTGTATTTGTGCATTCATGTAAATATATCTTTTAAAGCCCCAACAGAGTTCAGATGTCACCCTTAAATTCACATTTGCTAACTTCCATGTTCAGCAGCTAATATTTGAGGCACAAACATTAGCCACCAGCTACATGTTTTGGTTAAACGATACCTTTTTGTTCATTTCCTCCTTCAGTGCAGACTGCCCTTCAATGTTATCGTCGTTATCCCGACTTTTAGAAGACATTTTGGTCAAAAAGTTCGGTTAATATTAAAGTTCTTGAAGCCAGTTTACCTCAGTGTAAACACATGTTTAACGTTAGCGTCAATGAAAGCACTTCTGGGTGCGGAGGTCTGTTCAGTCCTCACTCGACCGCCCCCTAGAGGGGGGCGGTAATACATTGTTTTTTACCACATTAGAGATTCTCCACTTAAAAACTAATTTCCACATATAAAATGTTGGTTTTCACTCCATTGAAAAGTCTGATTGAATCTATAATGTGCAAATGAACTAGAATAGACTATAGGATCTTGCATTGAGTTTTAGGTCCTTGTATAAGCTTTTAGCTTCCTTCCTCTCCTGCACAGGCTCTTGTTTGGATTCATGTATTTGGTACTGTACATGTAGGTGAAAGTGTGTTAGTGTATATGTGAGTTTTCATTGTGTACATATAGTATGTTTTTTTTTATAATGTGCAAGTAAATAAACAAATGTTTGCAGACATTTAGTTGTCTTATTTTCTTACTGTCTTACCTTTTAAATAATGGTTGAAAGTCAAAACTCAAAGTCAAATGTTCCAGTTCCACTTACAACCTTTCTGAAACATTACATTACGAGCCCACTTCCCTCATCACAGTGCCATTCACTTTTTTTCGCTTTCAGATCCAGTCAATAAAAGAAGTTGTTCCCAGAGCTGTTGTCCCCACATCCACAGCATTTATTAATTGATTTATATGCCTGCCTCATTCTGTTCTTTCCAATCCCTTTCCAATCCATTATCCTGCTTTCCCACAATACACTGGGTTAGGGGCTGGTACACCATGGACTGAGGTAGAAACGCACAGTCACAGTGAGAACACACAGTATCAAACTCCCAGGACTCTCCACTGTGAGGCAACAGTGCCAACCACTGAGTGACCATGATGCCATATGTAAAGTCTCCAGAAAATACAACTTGAATTCTGCCAGTCAGAACAAGTTCAGTCCTCGTGCTGCTGTTTCCACCTGGGTGGAAAATTGACTCAGATGATGAGAGAAATAAGGAAATCATAACACACACTCTCCTGGTCACAAGAGAATCACAAGAGAGGAACAAACATCTGGAAAGCGCTGTGGAGATATAGCCTACTTTAGTCCGTTCAAAACCCAAGGGTCCATTTAATGCATTGTGACACATACACCAACACCGTATCTGCGGTTTGCACTGACATTACTGCTTTGTCATTCTCTCCATTATAGGAGATATACAAAGTGCACCACTCAAAAAATATTAAAGTAAAACAACAGCAGGATGAAAACATGCTCACAATGCAATGCAATAAAGTGTAAAGGTGAGGCTAATTATAAGTACTGGATATATTGCTGGGTAGCTTGTGCATTTCCGCCTAGGGATCAATAACGTCTCATCTTATCTTATTTTAACCTATAATGATACATCATAACTTATTATCCATTACATTTTGTATTATTAATCTGAATCTGCAAAGTAACTAGTAACTGAAGTTATCAAATAGGTAGCAAGGTATAAAATGTACAACATTTTTCATTGATTTAAAGAGGAATTATATAAAGTAAGTATAGCTGTCAAGACATTTAGGCTCAAAACCACAAATGTCAACGTCATGGTGGCGCTAGAGGAAAAGTCAGAGCATCACCAAAGTCTGTAGGATTCATCCTCTTGGGACTATGAATGTCTGTATCAAAATTCATGGCAATCCATTTAACGGTTGTTGAGATGTTTCAGTCTTGACCTACAACAACAAACAGAGAACTGCAACCCATGACACTAACATGTTTAAAGCTGCTGAGTGATTGCAGAGCATTAATCACTCACTTCCTCATTCCAGATTCTCCCAGCTGGAGCATGCAGAAATTTAAACTAGCAATCTCTCAGGAAGAAATGCCACCTGCTGTCTTGGGATAATAAGGTTACAAAGCTTTTCTGAGATATTCTGATTCACTGGCCTGGCAGCAGTCAACTAGCAGTAAAGACAAATGACCCTGGATGACACAGATGTTGATCTTGCTCCAGCAGTTGGCCAAGCACCCTCTGAACTTGCAGTGTGATGGACAAACACACCTGTTAGAGGTCTAACGTTGGCTTGCTGCCCACTGAGCTGCAACATATTGATCTGAAACAGCTGTCAGATGTTTACTGTTTCATTCCCTGGAAACAAGGGCTGTCATTTGGGGAAAGGTGGCCCCGACAGTGACTTTTGATGTTTGGACTGTGGACCGAGAGGAGCTGTCAGGTCCTGGGCAATGGCAGATTTCCACAGAAAGAATACGACAACAACACTGTTATGTTCCAAAAAGGCTCGATTATAATCATTGTTTCTTGTTCTTTGGTCACACAGATGCTTGATAATCTTTCTATGTCCAGCGTCATGGGACTTTGGGCGACCTCAAGGGCCTAGACTCACTCATTCAAGCTCAGTTTCATTGAAATACCTGAACCAAGTGACTTGTTTCTTTAATACCTTTCAGCTCTCCTGTAACACAGTCTAGGAGCTCAGGACAAAAAAAAAAAAGCAGAAGCCCTGCATGAAAAATAGATGAATAATCTGATCCAGCCTCATGTCCATAGATCTTAAGGTGACATTTGACATCCTGCCTCCACCTTTACTCCTTTTTTCGCTGTGGCTTGTGAGTATCAGACAACCTAAGGCCACAGGAGGCAAGTCATTCTCATATTTTTGTCCTGGAAGTGTAAATTTAGCCCACGTAAACACAGCTTGTTGCTCACAGAGGCAGGTTGAAAGGAGATCCCGCACTGGGGCAGAATATACTTGTAGCTCACACGGCCACAAAATGACACAGCAGCCGTCCCACCGCTGATGACAGGTACTCTCTGAGTCTGGCTGACACACCGGCCCACTAATAGTGCGGCTGGTAATCTGTTTGTACCAGCTCAATGAATGCAGACTTTCAAACGCCTGAGAGCTCTCTGTGATCCTTGAATAGATCACAAAGGGTTAGAAGTGCCTATTGTCATCGCTCAGCTCAAAATATGTGCTTATGTTACTTGTTAGGGTCGGTTTTGTTTCCTTGTGCGATGACATGGCACAGAGAAGGTCTACCTGTTGCTCTGGGCCAAGTGGAAACTAATGCTTTGTACATTTTTTAACATCAGTGTATGTGAAAATAAAAAGAATTGGAGTAATTAGTAGCCTAACACACACATTAGCACATATACATAGTGCTACATGCTAAATTATTGTAATTATACTGCATGTAGATAATGACTGGATGGCCAGGAGAGGATCAAATATTGTAGGCTAAATACAGGATTGGATTAACCCACAAGGGGGATTATTCTGGCCCTGAGCTGTGGGCCCCCAGTACCCACCCATTCTCCTGTCCTTATGGATGTATTATGGATGACATTGTGGTTTTACGAGGTGGACTGTTTCTTGGTCAGGTGCCTCATGGCGATGGCACGTTGTTTTAAAACATTTTTTTTGTACTTATTAAAGAAATAAGATATAATGTGTTCATTAAATGCTGGTTTGTTATCTTTGGACTGTTTCCAAGTCTTCATGCTAAGCTAAGCTAACTGTCTCCTGGTGGTCGCTTCACATGTAACAGACAGACATGTGGTATCAGTCTTCTCGTTTAACTTAAATAAAGTGTTTTGTAAAATGTGATGCAAGAGCCGTCAGGTTCACTTAAGGTCCTGAATCTTAGAATATCTGCTAATAGTTCATACTAATAACTGGTCCACCCCTTGTAATGATATATATGAAAGAAAGGAAGTTACACCCTTCAGAATCCACTGGGGTTTGAAGTCAGTATGTTGTAACAGGGCTGATGGAAGTTTATTGGACGAACATGACCACAATGAAAATCTCTCAAAAAGAACGAGGAAGATCTTCAGCGCTCGCCATTCGGTTCGGGTGTTTGTTTGTGAGGGTCTTTGTGCTTTATGTGTGTATGATGGAGTTTGTTGTCGCACTTTAAACTATAAATCATATCGCTGTAGGGGTGACTTGAAAAAACTCTGTTGTCAAGCAGAGAGAGTTTATGAGTTATTGCAGCGGTGCAGTGTTGGGATATAAACAGGAACACATGTGCATCACAGCCTTCTGAAATAAAAGATGCAGCACACTACTGTCCTCTATGTGTTGGCATTATTCATGACACAGTAGTAAGCCAAGAACATCCCACTCGAGAACAGAGGTTTTAGTGGTGGCACACGACAACGGGGGTCCCACTCAGCTGATAAGAGCCTTTTATAGTCCACAGTACAATGTAAAGTTACAGGAAACATATTACCCATGCGCTCACTTTTTATGGAAGCGGCACAAGGAGCTCTCATCAATGCAACCTGTAATTACAGATGTGATTCTCTTCTGTTGACATAGGTGGACAAATGCAAGTCATCCAAATACATGCTTTCAACACAGTTGTTCTCTGTTCACCACAGAGCTTGATTGCAGCAAGCCTCTTGATAAACAGCTTCTCTGGGTCAAGGCAATAATGGCAGTTTGCCATGCCAAAATGTTCAAAATGTTGAATTTGTGTGTCATCACGTGCAGAGGCAAGTCGAGTTAATGTTTAACTTGTGCAGCTCTTTGCACTCATCAGTTGTTCTTCTTTGTACCGCCTAAGTATTCATTTCTCAAATCAAATTATTAGATCTGGAAACTGTGAGCTGTGACAGCATCTAAACCAATTCTCCATTTAAGGTTTTATTACTGTTATGACTGTTTTATTACTCAATAAGCTAAATTTTTACTGATAGTGGCCATAATGTAATTAGTGACACAGGTGTGGTGTAAATCTGACCTAATTAAATCTGCATCTCACTGAATAAAAAGCACCATATAGTGGTAAATGGCAACGTTTACTGTATTGCCTATATTTTCTTATAGTGAAAAGTACAAGTTTACACCACTCCATTTATTTAAGAGCTTCAGTTACTACATCAGAAAGACTGGGATTTCATGTACAAAACATTTCATAAGTTTCTAAGATATGATATAAGAGATGATAATAATATTCAAATGATATAATATATAATAATATAACACTGTTCCTCATAATAAGTACATCTACATTCAGTTTTCCCACCAGCTCCTACGCAAATGTAATGTATATGTATTTGTACATATATTGAATTTCAAATATGAAATCTATGTACATATAAAATAAAAACATTTAATATGAAACCTGTTAGAAATGGGAACAATTTCATATATTGAAATATATGTCCAGCCCATACAAATATGTATGTTTATGTATGTATGCTTTGTAGACATACTGTATGTTACATAAATATATATCTATACCAAAGCCTGTCAGTATGTTGATATTTTATACAGTAGAGTCCAAAAGAGATACAGTGTGTTTGCCACATGTTAAACCACATAAAAATTCATCATATAGATATTTTAATATAGGTACATATACAAATGTTACTATAGGTATTTCATATATAAACTTATCCAATCTTATGTTATCCTATAACATATCCAGAGGATGTATATATGTGAGAATAATATATCCCCTTATAGGAAACATCACAGCGGGACATATAAGTCATATATTACATTTCTAACTTCAGCTTCAGTGAGGTTTTTGAACGCAGGACTTGTAATGGAGTATTTTTACATTGTGGAATTGTAAGTTTAACCATGTGGTGAAAGAAACCACTGCAGTGAGTGAGCATACACACAAACCTGACAACAGCAGCAGGCCAAAGACATTTTCATATATCTTTGTGGAACATCTTCACACACACACACACACACACACACACACACACACACACACACACACACACACACACACACACACACACACACACACACACACACACACACATAGATATCTATGGTCAGGTGTTGATTAGAGTAGCTCATCGTAGAAGAAGCCGTGTGTTCATAAATAGGTAGATAAGAGCCCAGTCAAACGAGAGCTCACTAAAGAGGGCTAAAGTCTTTATGAAGCTGTTCACAATGACAGGTTTTTTTGCGGTTGGAGCACCACATTTGTTTTTGACTATGGCGAGTCACGTGACCGCGTGAGTATATTCGAGGCTGGACGTAAACACAGAGCAGCAGAGGAGAGCGAGCCGTGCAGCGGATCAGCCGTGAATCCAGCGCCTAGCTCCGTGGGGTTCAATTTTCTTTGCGACTAACCGGCCTATTTAGGCTATTTAGACAGTTATTTCTTTCCGACTTCAGCTACAGTGATAGCTAAGTTTGGAAAGGAGGAAAGGGAAAAAACGCCGTGTCTTCGTTTTGTTTTTGTGCAGTGTTATCTAGTGTAAGCCGGAGTCGACCTCCTTTACATTACAAAAGAGGAGACAGCGTAAAAGCTAAAGGAAAAAAAATTAAATAAAAACAACATTCACGCGGTTATTTTTCGCCATTCGGACAGCTTTAAAATGGATAACTCTGGACCTAAGAAGACATGCTGTGGTAGGTTTATCTCTCATTGCATTAAATTACAAAACATTTCACAAGCGGATCCTTCGCATGGAGGGAAAAGATGCCCACGGACCACCAGCAGTGTAACCTCATGATTTTATCCTGACAGCTAAATATGTGTCTTCACAGAATCCATCCGGGATTTCTTCACTTCAGCTAAATTCCTTATTTACATGGGACATGCTCTCTCAACCTGGGTAAGTGACACACTGACACACCATCATTTCTGTGTACATGTTCATCATGATGACAGGCTGCATCATGTGGAAATGTAATACAACATTAATGTGTTATTGTGTTTTATAACTGTCATTACAATACAAAATGACATGTTTTCCCTGTGTAGCTCACCACACCACACTGGGCTTTACAAACAGCTCTCATGCTGAACTGAAGAGGGTGTTAGTTTTTCAACAGGGTTCTCATTATGTATCCAGCACCTAAACCACACTTCCTGTCAGCCCCCAACCTGGGATGCCTTGAATGAAGCCTGCACTAATTAATAATCACAAATTTGAATTTCCAGGGGGATCGAATGTGGAACTTTGCTGTGGCTGTTTTCCTGGTGGAGCTGTATGGGAACAGCCTGCTGCTCACGGCCGTATACGGGCTGGTGGTGGCCGGCTCCGTGCTGCTGCTGGGGGCCATCATCGGGGACTGGGTGGACAGAAACCCCAGACTGAAAGGTGAGGCAGCACAAGCCAAGTGTATTAATTGATTAATTGTCATAACACAACTTCGTCGTGGATAAAATGCCAAAACTTTGCGGAAGTGGTCATGAAAATAGATGTAGCACTTTCCAAGCGGATGGTGTTATACTGTTGCACACAGTCTGCAGCTTTTCCTCTCTCTCTTTCACACTGAGGTGCACCTCTTGTGGCAGGAATGTTTATCCAGAGAAATTTGGCTCTATTTGACACTATTAGATTAGATGAGGGAGTGTATCCAACCATCTTGTGAAGCGCTCTAATGAACCAGTTTAACAGACACAAATCTGTTGTCTGTGATTAGATTTCTGTCTGCCTAATGCTCATCGTGGTGTTTCCACAGTGGCCCAGACTTCGCTGCTCGTCCAGAACAGTTGCGTCATCGTGTGTGGGATCCTCCTGATGGTTGTTTTCCAGTTCAAAGAACAGCTTGTGGAGCTCTACAATGGATGGATTCTGGTAAGATCCCCCCTGTGCTGTCTCATACACGCTTGCTGTTTCAACGCTGATCTGATGGGGATTTTCACTGAAAGCGTGTTTTTTACCCCGTCTCCTCAAGTGCGCCACTCTGACCCCTGAAACTTGCTCACTTTTACTGATATGTACTCACCACGTCAGTCTGATTTATGGCCACTTGGACAGCTTTTACAGATGAGTGACATGAGGGTAATTCACTCCCAGAAGACCTTTGAATGTTCCAATAACTTATTTTGAAAGAGTAGGTTAGTTATGACCTAAATGTTTGTTTTCAGTGGGAAATAATTTCACTGATGATATTTAGCATCTTGTAATTGCAATTATTAATTTATGAGTTTGCAGTCGCCAAACAAAGCTTACTGTGGCACAATTAATAAACAATTTGGTTTTCTTCTCACGAGGAAACAAAGCATGAGACACGCACACACGTCCTCAGCAGCCTTCCATGGGAAAGTGTTTGTGTCAGTGTTTTTGCAAGGGGCTTGTTTACACTTGTTGAGCTACATAACTTCAGCAGAGCTCCCTCCCCACGAAGAATCGGACCTGATTCCGCAGAAAACCGAGCCTGAGTTGCAGAGTTTGCAGAGTAGGGAGGTCGCCGCCGTCTGTCATGGGAGACCAGTTGGGGTGTTTGGTTGAAACACAAAGCCTTTCTGTTGAAGGGAATGTCTCCAACGTTGCCCTCTGCATTTGTGGGACGCCTTTGGGTTCCGAGAGAATGGGGCAGGAGGGCGGGGAAGGGGGGGGGGGTTTCACCATGTGAGAGAGTTTAGAGGGACAGCCAGTGTTGGAGTGTGTGCGGCGGTGGAGACAGGTTGGTGAAACAGGAGATTGAGTGTTTAGTTGAAGGCTGTGTAGTCAGCAGGATCTTCAAGGCCTGTCACATGACAGACGGAGAGAGAGAGAGAGAGAGAGAGAGAGAGAGAGAGAGAGAGAGAGAGAGAGAGAGAGAGAGAGAAATGTGGCCTGGCCTGTTGAAGAATGTTTTCTATCCTGACCAGAGCAGCTGCATTACAGTTTACATACAGCTCAACAAACAGTGTGTTTTTCAAATAGGCCACTTCTACACAGAATATTGTGTCTATAATATCGTGTTTTTGTCCTGCAGTGCTGGCTGTAGTTGAGGTCACGTGTTGACTGTCACACTGTTTCTGTTAAGCAGCTATTTTCTCCGAATTCTATAGATTTTTTTCCACAGGAGGCTATCGATTTTTTTCTTTAGTTTACATATGATGACATGTGACAGTAGCACTTGGTCTTTACTTTTCCTTAAAAAATATTCATGAAGTGAAGTATGTACTTTGAAACTGACAACTACTGAGAAACTAAGTCTTATTTTATTTTTTAAATTTTAGGAATTAAGCGTTCAACCAATAAAAGTGCTTGTCATCGTTGAATTTCACCAATGTAATGGGTCATAGCAGCAAGTACAGTAAATATCAGTGAGTCTTATATTATATATCTGTGTTTAAGGGATAGGGTGGTGTCTCTAGATTTTCCTTACATCAACAAATCCTATGAAAAGACCAAAGTCAACAATGTGTTAGTTTGTTTTTCGATACTTTCCAACTTCCCTGTTTGTCGCTCTCAGCCCCAAGTTCATTTGTAGCAACTGAAGACTTACATCCTTAAAAATGTGTCACAAATATTCAGTTTCATAAAAAAAAACAAAAAAAACAAAGAGAGATTTTAATTTCATAAAACAGCTGTGCAAGTGTTATGTAAGGCAAGTGCAATATACAAATCACAGGAGCTGCAATTTTTTTTGATAAAGATACGAATCATATTCTGCACACGTAAAGGAAGATGTTTGTTTGGTACAAGACCCAATAAAACTCATATTATTATTATTTTTTATTTTTTTTTCAGTGAAAGTAAAATGTCAAAATGACCATTCCCACTATAATCATGATTCATAATGCAATGTCTGCAAAAATAATCGCAATATGATTTTTCCTTTGCATATCGTTCAGCCCTAATGTGTCACAAATATTACATTTGATTTAAAAGAAAAAAGAAAGGAGTGAATTACCTAAAACAGCTGGGTTACTCAGGTGGGTGTAAATAGTGCATTTGTTGGGGAATATTTTCAGCTGTGGATTAATACACATGAGCTCTAGTTCCCAACACAGGCAGATAAATCCAGGGGGTCTCAAGATGATTAAACAGATACAAAAGTAAAGCTGTTCATTTTTCTTCAGCTTTCCCGAATACGTCCACATCTCCTGTTTCTACCTCACATTATTTATGATTATGTGTCCACACTGATGAAAGTTCACAAAGTAGACGTTTCTTCATTTAAGTGGTAACAAGCTGGAAGGGTCTGTAACTACAGTTCTAGTTAGTATTGGGGAGCATGGTAATGAAGGAACATGTCACCCAGTGCAACAGTGTGGCTCATTGATGTGTTTTTAATAGCGTTTGGAAACAGTGGAGCTCTATGGCACAGAGCAATCAGATATATCAGGCTTTGGATTCACACACAGTACTTGTTATTAGGATCAATTCATTGCTGCTTTGGGTCTTTTTAATTTTACCAGCTTCGTCTTTTTCTGACATAAACCTGATACTGGATAAAATACGCGGGAGTAAAAATGCCTAACTTTGTTTTTTCTTCAGACGACTTGCTACATTCTGGTCATCACCATCGCCAACATCGCCAACCTCGCCAGCACGGCCACATCCATCACCATCCAGAGGGACTGGGTCGTGGTTGTGGCGGGGCAGGACAGCAGCAAGTTGGCAGGTCAGTGTTTCTTACGTGCTGCGGCCTCCTCATCGAATGTAGGCCTCACGTGACCTGTTATCAGATGTGTTCAGTGGGGCAGACTTTGAATCCCAGAGGCTGACTCACTCTTGTTTTGACCTTTTATATCCCTGCAGTTTCCCTGGTTGTTATAAGCTATTTAAAAGATTTGCTCACATGGTGGAAAACATTTTCAGCACTTATAAACTCGTTGACCCTTATCAATCTGCTGTGCTCGTACTGTCAGTCCAGTAAAAAAAACTCCTGTCATATGGAAGTGTAAAACCTACCACAAATATGATGGGATCACATTTCCTACACATTCACCCACTTCATACTGACCTACACCTCTTTGTATCAAACAGACATGAATGCCACGGTGCGAATTATTGACCAGCTGACCAACATCCTGGCTCCCATGCTGGTGGGCCAGATAATGGCCTTTGGCTCCCATTTCATTGGCTGCGGCTTCATCTCTGGCTGGAACCTGTGCTCCATGTGTCTGGAGTATGCGCTGCTGTGGAAGGTCTACCAGAAGACGCCGGCGCTGGCCATGAAAGCCGGACAAAAGGAGCAGCAGCAGGAGCTCAAACAGCTCAGTCCCCCTAAAGGTAGCTGCAAGAACCTCGTGTTTATATCATGTGGAACAAAACTCCTGGTAGGAGTTTATAATTGTGTTTTATGTTAATTATCTTTTGGCTTGGTTTGTACTAAATACAACTGAATCCCTCCATCCCTCTGCCCTTTTGCAGACTTGGAGAACGGCCAGAGTCCTGAGGAGTCTTCTCAGCCGCTGATGAATGAAGCCTCAGTGGTGGCCAAGCCCGACTCCCCCCAGCAGCAGGGCTGCTGCTACCAGGTGACCGAACCGCTGCGCACCTTGAAAGCTGGCTGGGTGGCCTACTACAACCAGAACATCTTCTTCGCCGGCATGTCTCTGGCCTTCCTCTACATGACAGTGCTGGGCTTTGACTGCATCACCACAGGCTACGCCTACACACAGGGGCTCAACGGCTCAGTGCTCAGCCTGCTGATGGGGGCGTCGGCCGTGTCGGGCATCTGCGGCACTGTCGCCTTCACTTGGGTTCGCAGGAAGTGCGGCTTGATCCGTACGGGCTTCATCTCGGGCGTGGCTCAGCTGTCCTGCCTCATGCTGTGCGTGGTCTCCGTCTTCACTCCTGGAAGCCCCTTCGACCTCAGCGTCTCACCCTTCCAGGACCTTTACACCCACTTGATCGGAGAGACGACCCTGCCCGAGGCTGACCACAGCCTCACCAGCGTTCTTACGGGAGGGAACGCCACTACTCCTGCACCGGCTGCAGAGCAGCCACCTCTGCAGTCCTACATGTCTGTTAGTCTGCTGTTTGCTGGCGTCATTGCTGCTAGAGTTGGTGAGTAACGTATTTCCCCTAGATGCTTTTTTCCAGATCTGTTATATTTTCTTGGATTATGGAGAGATGTCCTGTTACTTTGAAGAAGATCCAAAGAGCTAATCATTCATTTCAATTCAATTTTATTTGTAAAATGCCAAATCACACCATACATTATCTCTGGGAACTTTACAGGGTAAAGTGCCTCATTGATTGCCACCGCAGTAAATGGTGCAAAGTCTAAGTTGAGATTTCTCATTTTATTTGAAAGGAAATTAGAGTGTGTAAGAATCAGTGTCCGTGCTTTGTTGGCATATTCACTTCCTTTCATAAAGTTATAAAAAGTTGTTTTCCAAGTGATGACTTCCTAAAGGTGACTCAAGCAGGTACCAGCAGGTCCACAGGTTGAATGCTTTCATAAGAGAACAGAATTTCACAGTGGACCTCTATAGGTCTGTCAGAGCAATATCTGCAACCTTTGATGCCAATAACATGTCCTGATAATTCCTGCCACAGCTACTGTTGAGTTCTAACGTCATTTAATGTGGCTGTAAAAATACCATTAGGACTGACTGTTGATCTCTGTCCTGCAGGCCTGTGGTCCTTTGACCTGACAGTGACCCAGCTCATCCAGGAGAATGTGATTGAGTCGGAGCGAGGTGTGATCAACGGCGTCCAGAACTCCATGAATTACCTCTTAGACCTGCTGCACTTCATCATGGTGATTCTGGCTCCGAACCCCGAGGCCTTTGGCCTGCTGGTCATCATCTCTGTCTCCTTTGTGGCCATGGGTCACATCATGTACTTTAGGTTTGCCTTCAAGAGCCTGGGCAGCCGCCTCTTCCTCTGCTGCTCGCCGGAGCAGAAGGTGGAGGCGGTCGAGTCCCCCTCACTTCCTACCACCGTCTAACTCCATTAAAGAGACTCTGTCCTGGGTACATATTTGTCAAGCCTTACCCTATCCCTGCATCGTATTTATCTAGCTAACATCATTGCTTGTAGCAGGCAGAATGCTAATGCTAACATAAACCTTAAGAAGGTAACTTAACATGCAATGCATAGCCATTAATAATGCATTAATCATTAGCAGGAGGTTCACAGTCATAGAAAACTAATCCATAGTAAAAGCGTAGATAAGGCAGGATTTCTCTAACTGTTTCAGTCTGATGAGAGCCTCAGCCTTTCATCTATGGGTCCATGCTCCTTAACACAGGTACTGTGCATCCATCACCTCGAGGCTTGTGTTAAAGAAACCAGTGAAATAATCTCCTCTTAACAGCCTGGATATAGCTGTAAAGATTTGTAAAAGGTGCTTCAGCTAATAAAAGGGCAAAATGAGGGAGAGATGTTGCAGGGAAGCAGGCACTGAGGCTTGAATTAAGGGGTGGGGGGAGGCGACTGTCTGAGACACTAAAAGACAGAGCACCCCTCATTTTTTTGACACCTCCCTCTCAGTGACATCATTGGTGCTGTAGCTGCGTCTGCTTGCTGTTCTCTGAGCGCCTGCTCTTTGGTTGCTTCAGCTTCCACCTATGAAGAGCAGGTGGTGGGTGTATTCCTCTAGAAGGAGGGTGGGTTCTTCTTATTTGACCAAACACAAAACTGGGATCCGGTCTCTTTAATGCGTTGTTATAAGGGTTATGCAATTAACTGTATTTTTTCAGGAACTGCAGATGGTGTTTTTTTTTTTTATAATAACTGTATCATCAGTGTTGTGTGTCGCGCGCATGATTGTGCCATAAGAAACAAATGAGAAATCCTATGCACCCTTGTCAACAGTTATCTCAGTTACCAAAGTCAAAGTCCATATGTGGCATAAAAGGAAGTGAGGGAAACCAGTTATCTGTCTGAAGCATTCCAAATATATATTTTTACATCAGGTGACAGTAGTGTAGGTTCACTAATGCTTTCATATAACCCCAGTATATTTGAAGATTTCTAACCCACTCTGAGATTGTACTTAATTTTTTGTTTTTGTTTTTTCTGATAGTTTACATCAACAGATTAATTTTTGTCACCTTTTGATTTTTATGTTTTGAGTTCTCTGGAGTGATTTTTTTTTTTTTTTCAAACATGATTGTTGTTGTTACACAGGCACTTTAAGTGATTGACATCTGTCATTACACCCAATGCGTGATCAGATATTTGATCAATACTTTTTGCACAAGGCTGAAGCCCCGACTCCCCCAGAGCACAATCGTATTTCAATCACTTATAGTCTCTCTGTCGGTCTGTTCAGGTGCTGTGGGGGGATTGTGGTTCAAAAAGGCACATATTACTCAGCACCACATGTTCATGAGGAAAAACTGGCCCACCCTTGTGGAAAAAAAAAAGTCTGAATACACCCTCAGTTTACTTCAGGTGCCCCCCGTTTCCTCGAGAAGTCTGCCAGGGAGCTTAGTCAGCATCCCTGCTCAGATCTCAGTTTACCGCCTCAGACCTTGACCTGGACTCAGGAGTCTAGGTATTTGTTCTTATTTCTCTAAGCTTCAAAAGCGGCGAAAATGTTTTACTAAAGTCAAAGTTTTCTGTTCACATATTTGGCTTTCAGTACCCTGTGTAGAAAACATATTTAATAGTACCTCACTAAAATGAGTGCATAGTTTTTTTGCATGCTCCTTTAACTGTGAAGTGATTTAACTGATCAACCATTGTCTCCAAAAAACAGTTTAAGATCACAGACATCATGAAAGTAGCTTTGAAAGATTCCAAATAAAGTAACTATAACGTAGCTATAACTACTTCCTTCCCACCTTCACTCATTTCTGATGCCTTACCATTATAAACTAGCCTTGACAGCTGTTAAACGCACACATGTGGCTTCATCGAGAGTTCATAGCTGCACCCAGCCCATGAAAAAGCCAGCCGGTGTAGCCAGGATTTTGGGGTGGGGGGGTGGGGGGGTGGGGGGTGTTTGGGTTGGAAACGGAGGTAGCCGCAGCAGATGTAGGAGAACAGAGGGCTACTTTTCAGCTGCACATTCCCATGAAACCTGGAGGAAGAAGTGGTGCTGAGTCAGGACGTCTGCAGGTGTGCCGCGAGGTGCAGACTCAACCGGGAATGGAGCTTAATTGTCAGATCCCACCCGGGTTTAATGTAACCTCAAACTCAAAGTCTGCGCATGAGAAACAAAAACCAGCTCTTAGAACGGTCGGCCTGCTGATTCAGGAATATCACACATGGCCATAAACTTTATATTTTTAATGTAAATAACATTAGCTGTCAGTCAGTTTAAACTTACATAAATATACAATTAGAAAATGTAAAAAAATACATTGTGTATACTGTGTTGTGCCATTTGTCTGAAAACTTTTTTACATGTTTTGTATATCTAGTGTTAGCATTTTATGTCAAATTGAGGTTTCATAAAGATTTTTGAAATTTGTGTATAAAGCAATTACTGTATTCATTTCAATACATGTGTATCATACTGCTTCAATCTGACTGTATATCTGTGTGTATGTATATATATATATACATACATGCATATATATAAGTGTTATTGTAGTTCAATAGGCAAAAACATTAAATCATAAAGGAATCAAATTCATTTTTATGTAATAATCGCACTCCACTCAATATGAGGACTTTGGAACTGCTTATATTGCATGAGGTTTCTTGAATAAAGAAAACCTTTACAATCACCTGTTTGTACAGCCTTATCTCTGTGTGTATGTATGTGCAGTTATTGTGTGGGCACTGTTTCTACGGTCTCAGTTTTGGACTTGGCTGCTGCTGTGTGATGTCACATACCACAGAAGAGTTAGCTGCTAATTTTCAACTCAGAATCCATTCTCTCTCAGGCGGTCAGTGTTAAACTGACTGACTTTAAGCTGAGCTGGATGATCTGGACTTGCATGCCTGCTGGAGAGACAAAGAGTGACCTGGTTTTGCGCGGCACAAGTGACAAAAAGGCTCGGCCTGAGGCATGTTAGTGATCTGTCTCTGTATTTAGTTCTTATTTTATCATTTTGTGGCATTTTAGCATTTTAACACCAGGGGGATTTCCACATTTAATCACTTTCACTTATTACAACCACCCATGCTTTGTTGCTCATATCAATCATATACCATATAGCAAGAGTGAGTGGTACCTCTTTAAGAGGTTTACATAACACCAAATACCAAAACCCCTGCTAATCAGTCAGACAGCTAATGAATACAATAGCACCTTTTTAGATCTCTGCAAGCTTTTTTTTGCTTGTCAAATGTTTCTGTTGCAACATCGGACATAATTTATAGACATATCTCACATTTTAATAAGCCTTTCTTTAAAGCTCCATACTTTCCTCTTCTCCTGTGTTTTATTTGAAGTGTTGATCCATAAGAAGATATATTTGTAGTTTTAAGAACCAAAAACCATTTAAATGTTGTTTTACATCTCCTCTCTCAGGCTTCTCTCTGGAGCTCTAGTAACAACAGGGACGTGAGCCAATCAGAGGAGAGAAGGCTCTGTGCCGCTCTCCTGATTGGCTGACTGTTTTCTAAGTGATCCAATAAAAATATAGTAAATTTCAGGTAAAACACCAAACCAAATCCAGCAAAGTTGGATGGTGGGTCCAGGTGGGCGGCGCTTGGGGCATGGCTGAGAGTGGCGACTGTTTTGTTGTGACATCACAAAGTTCCAGAAGTCCTGACGGATGGTTTTAAGGCTCAGTTTCTGAATACAGGCTGTGTGCATTTCTCTTTGGACTGAGGCTCTGATACTTTCACAGTATTAATATTGAACCTAGGGCTGCTTTATAATTGAAGAACACATGGACATCTACGTTTATACAACATGGCACCTTTAAGTTTTGCACCCTATTAAGATTGTTCCATTTTAAACAACAGTAATAAAAGGCCAATTCACACAAACCTGGAGTAAAGTCACTAAAATGAAGTTAGCTGACTGTGCTGTACACTTGAAATATTTTTAAAAATTATCTGACAGCAGATTTGTCATGTAACAGTTTAGTGAAAAAGGTTACACACACAGGGAGCAACACCTTAAAGAGGTTCAAAGCTGTGACTCAGCCCCACCTCATACTTGAAGAACCACAGTCTTCAGAGGGACATGGCTGCTGACTATAACGAAAGTCCAATGTCTACAGACAGGAACTAGATAAGTGCCTGGCCACAGTGCAGATACAGTATCTCTTCCTCCTTATGTGTCAGATTTCTATTATCTTCTGGAACAATGATCACTCAGAAGGCTAATTTTCCCCCAAAAATAAATTTGTATGTTTGGTCAGCAATTTCTGCCAAGGCCTCGTGTTCATGTTTTGTTGAAGTCAAAGTTTGTCGGATAAGACTTTCACTGTAATTTCAAAGGTAAAATTAGAAATAATATATAACAGATACAGCTGCTGATAGGGGAAGTCAGGTGTGAGAGGTTTAACCATTGCTCAATTTCAATCAGTCATTTAAAGCATGCTTGTATCTATAGCTTTACCTTGAGGCACATTTATTACAGACGGTTGTTTTTGTTCACTCCAATCCGCTTAGCTTTATGCAGCACATAAAAGCAATAGTTTGACCTTTTGGGAAATACGTATATTTTCTTTCTTACTGAGAATTAGATGAGAAGATTGATACCACACTCAGTTCTTTCTTTTAAATATAGAGCCACAGCCAACAGCTAGTTAGCTTAGCTTAGCTTAGCTTAGTTTATTTTATCTTAGCATCGCAAATGGAAACAAGTGGAAACTAAATTTGCCTACCAGCACCTAAAGCTCACTAATTAACACATTATATCTTATTTCTTAACCTGATAAAAAGAATGAAAATGTAAAGTTGTGGTTTTGGCCTCAATGGTATTCCTTATCCTTCACCTTCATACACAACATCACGTGTCTTCCAGAGTCCAAACTCAGCCTTTTTTTTCCATTGTCATTGCTCTGTGATGTAATTGAGAAAACTGGTGGGGTTATATATGCAGATGACGTTTCTGATGTTGTATAGATGGTGAACTATGACACACACCTAAGCTTTATTGTCGCTTTCAGATCAAAGATTAAGATAGGAGGCAAAATTAATGTTAACAAATAATCAATCAATACATAACATTGTGTGTGGAAATTCTGCCTATGAGTATTTGATATTACAGGTACTCGTTGCTTTCTTGAAAGCTTGAACAGCGAACTCTTCTTATCGTACCAGGACCTTGAAAATAACACATTATTGGTGCTGTAAAGTCAGGCCGGACACAGCACAGCTCTTGAGTAACAATCCTGAGATTGAGAAGCACTGTCTGCATAGACTGGAAGGAGAATGGTAACATTTTGCTTCCCTATAGTCCAGATGATGCATGTTTCATGTCAGCAATCTTTTCACGTTCTCTTTCTGTGTCAGATATGCCTGAGGCCTTCCCACCGCAAGGATCAGATCGTCGTGTCTTCATGAATCTTCTGCATTCCGTCACACATCAAGGCCCTACGGAACCTTAGGTGATCAAACTGGGTCCACACTATATATATATATATATAAAATATTAAACTTATCAAGTCCTAAACTATTTATCTGTCACTTTTATGGACTTGATATGACCTGAGGTCTGTAAAGCAACTTTACACTTTTCAAGCAATAAACCTTGTCTAAATATTCATGATAAACTTCGAAATGAATGAACGATGAACCTTGAAATGAAGTAAAATAGGGGGAACTAGGGAAACTTATTCATCACTGAAACCCCTTTTTAACCACTGCAGCAGTATTTACCTTTTTTTAAACTTTCCCTTTATATTTACCCTCTTTTTGCCATTTAAAAAAAGCCAGTTCAACAAAGAGTAAAGTTTGAAAATCAACAAAAAGAAGGAAGTAAAAACAAGAATTCTAACATTAACCTAAACTAGAACTTTATCTTTTTAGCTCAAAGAAACAGCTGGACAGTTTAGGAATGAGAAGATTGATACCACTCTGAAGTCCCACACATAAAGCTCACTAATTATCACGTTAAATATTTTGTTTAGTATGTAAAAACAACAGTGGTTTTATGAGTGGTATGTGTCAGACTATTTCTCGGCTGTTTGCCCTGCTGGAGACAGTGAAGGCGCCCAGTCAAAAATAATCTGTCACATATATATATTATATATTTGAGAGAGTGTGCTACATTCATTCATGGTCCATTTGGTTTCGG